AACCCGGAAGCTCTTGATGATGTGGACTAGGGGAAAGACTGGGGCCAGGTTGTCGTTGGTGCAAGTCAAGGAGGTCAGTCAACGACTAAACCGACTAAAGGATTCAATTCCAGACTGCTTTGCTCGCAAACCATGGGGATTTGATGACCTTGGCCATTGGAAGGCCACAGAATTCAGACAGTTTCTACTCTATACTGGGAAAGTAGTGCTGAGAAGAATCTTGTCTAAAGAGTATACACACTTCATGGCCTTCAGTGTTGCCATGTGCACTTTCTCCACAACTTTCTTCAATCCACAGTGTCTATGCTCATTCTTTACTGAACTTCTTGATGGAGCAGGGAAGGGTTTTGTATGGAGACACATTTCTCGTGTATAATGTTCACTCCCTCCTGCACCTCACTGCTGATGCTGAAGAACACGGCTGCCTTGACAACTGTTATGCTTTCAAGTTTGAGAACTACTTGCAACAACTAAAGAAGATGGTCCGCTCAGGGAGGCGGCCACTTGTGCAAATTTGTAAAAGAGTGCAAGAACGCACCATTCAAAATGATGGCCAAACAATGCCTACATACTTAATGATAGGTCATGCTATGAGGTAGTGAGCCAAGAAGATGCCTCTGATACTTACCTCTGCAGGGTGTTTCAGCATCTGGAATCTTACATGCTGAGTCCTTGTGACTCAAGACTGTATTGGACTTTCCGCACCACTACGGGGAGCTCACAAACGCGTCTGATTGCAAAGAGCAGTCTTGTTAAGCAAGCTATTATACTTGAGGAGGACCATGGCACTCGTGTTGTGCTTACCATCTCGCACAGCCTGTAGCATGGCCCATTTAGCTACAGCCAAGTTCACAAGCTGTATTCGTTTTGCAAACTATCTTGGCTGGTAAATCAAGAGTCTGAACAGTGTGGAATTGGTGTTTTGTTTTTCTGCACAGGGCACACAGCGTTATTATGTTGTACATTTAGTAAAAGAGAACACTGTTGAAGTTGTACCAGAGCAGTGGGTGGAGAAGAGAGATGGGGTGAGTTGATCAGTTAAATGGTCAGGGGCGGTGTGTTCAATAGGGCGATATGGGCGACGCACTGCCAAACGGGAAAAGGAAGGGATTTTTTTTCTAATCAATTATATCACGGCAACAGTAGTTATCAGTGTTGTAATCTAGACGTCTGATCTGCCACAGTGCCACTAAATGTCCAATCAGGCTAAAGTCGTGCTTCAAATGCCCCCCCCCCCCCCCCCCCCCCCCCCCCCCCCCCTTTTGGGGCGATTTCAGTCAGGTTGAAAATCGCCCAGAAGTCTGTCATAGACTCTAATGTAAAATCTATTTTTTTCAAATATCAGAGCTTTCAATACAATCTCTATGGGTTTCTGAGGGCTTGCACTTACGCGCTTTCGTCATACGTAACATAACCATGAACGTAACTAAGAAAAAAGCGGGTAGCCTCATCAATCAATTCACGTACTACTATCAAGATGGCTATAGCGTTCAGTGCAACTCGATTGTCTCTTTGAAATAAGTTACTTTTTGTCGGCGAACAAATGAAGATAAATTGGCAACGAAACAATTAGGACCTCCCAGACCAAATTTAATAATTCAACAGGTTTCTACTAAAGGGGGGAAGTCCTACACCCGAAGATTTTCCAAAAATTGGTACGAACGAAAAACCTGGCTAGCAGGCTGCGATGTAGCTAATGCAGTCTTCTGCTATCCCCTGCTTACTCTTTCACCCTGAAGGCGGCACGGCAGACAGCACCGCTTGGACAGCGACTGGTGTGTAACGGACATGCACCATCTTTCAGGAAAGATTAAGAAACATGAGCTGTCAAAGACCCACATGGATAGCTGTTTGAGATTGTCTGCTTTGGGGAGAGTGAACATTCCCACTCAACTGGATGAGGGATACAGGCTAGCTGTCCGCCGCCACAACGATGAGGTTAGTGTTGATAATCACAAGTTTACTGGAGAACTGAAACTGACAAGGCTGACAAGATAGGACCCTTTTGTCCATTGTTATTGGATAGGAACAGAACTTATAACCAGCTCCTGACCTAAATAGATCTTAGCACAACATTTTACTCAACATATCATATTCCATATTCACTATAACAAATATATTTACTACGACATTAGCAAGAACCGCCACATCCTCAGCCGGCTAATCCAGTGTGTGAAGTTTTGCGGAGTGTTTGAGTTAGCTTTGCGAGGCAAAGATGAAACTGAGGGCTCCACCAACCCTGGTAAGCCAACACTTTTGAGATCAGTCAATAAATGCTTCTGGTATTGACTTATATGCTGCCCCTGTCTTCATGTTGTTGCTGGACATATATATTTTTTAATGTTTGTAGGTCACCTAAATCATCAGAAAAATTGCCCCCCCTGAGAATTTTTTCAGGAGCCGCCAATGTAAATGGTTTACCCTTTTCAGGCAAAGAGATGGATAAATAGTTCACTTTAAACAGTGTCTCATATCTTGCAGGTCCTGTGTTGCTACTGACCAAGAAATGCCAGAGTAATAGTGATTAAGAGAGGAGAACGGCCTGACAAACTATTATGGTAGAAGTAAAGAATTTCCATCTTTTCATACACTGGTAAAATAATATTTTACTGTATCCATCCACTCCCGTTTATATTGCTATGTATGCTTGGTTTTGTGGCTCTGGAGCAGGTTGCATGAGTTGAACATACTCCTATATGCAAGGCTAGTTCCAGCATAGAATATGTTCTAAGCCAGGTGTAAACCTGTGTCACCACCTGGTTGTACGTAATAGTTTTTACACCCTGACGTAGCAAAAGCTAAGTGTAATGTGGGGTAGACGTAAAGTATAAATCTATAACTAGTTTCCAAGGTAAGTGTTTCATGACTAGTCATGTCGCACTTGTTCAATTTTCTAAATAATTACGTTGACCGTAGGTAGGTCCAATTTACAGTGAGGGAAAAAAGTATTTGATCCCCTGCTGATTTTGTACGTTTGCCCACTGGCAAATTGTAGGTTTATTTGAACAGTGAGAGACAGAATAACAACAAAACAATTCAGAAAAACTCATGTCAAAAATGTTGACATGCAAAATTGATTAGCTTTTTAATGAGGGAAATAAGTATTTGACCCCTCTGCAAAACATGACTTAGTACTTGGTGGCAAAACCCTTGTTGGCAATCACAGAGGTCAGACGTTTCTTGTAGTTGGCCACCAGGTTTGCACACATCTCAGGAGGGATTTTGTCCCACTCCTCTTTGCAGATCTTCTCCAAGTCATTAAGGTTTCGAGCCTGATGTTTGGCAACTCGAACCTTCACCTCCCTCCACTGGCTAGGCCACTCCAGGACCTTAATGTGCTTCTTCTTGAGCCACTCCTTTGTTGCCTTGGCCGTGTGTTTTGGGTCATTGTCATGCTGGAATACCCATCCACGACCCATTTTCAATGCCCTGGCTGAGGGAAGGAGGTTCTCACCCAAGATTTGACGGTACATGGCCCCGTCCATCGTCCCTTTGATGCAGTGAAGTTGTCCTGTCCCCTTATCAGAAAAACACCCCTAAAGCGTAATGTTTCCACCTCCATGTTTGACGGTGGGGATGGTGTTCTTGGGGTCATAGGCAGCATTCCTCCTCCTCCAAACACAGCGAGTTGAGTTGATGCCAAAGAGCTCCATTTTGGTCTCATCTGACCACAACACTTTCACCCAGTTCTCCTCTGAATCATTCAGATGTTCATTGGCAAACTTCAGATGGCCCTGTATATGTGCTTTCTTGAACAGGGGGACCTAGCGGGCGCTGCAGGATTTCAGTCCTTCACGACGTAGTGTGTTACCAATTGTTTTCTTGGTGACTATGGTCCCAGCTGCCTTGAGATCATTGACAAGATCCTCCCGTGTAGTTCTGGGCTGATTCCTCACGATCATTGCAACTCCACGAGGTGAGATCTTGCATGAAGCCCCAGGCCGAGGGAGATTGACAGTTATTTTGTGTTTCTTCCATTTGCGAATAATCGCACCAACTGTTGTCACCTTCTCACCAAGCTGCTTGACGATGGTCTTGTAGCCCATTCCAGCCTTGTGTAGGTTTACAATCTTGTCCCTGACATCCTTGGAGAGCTCTTTGGTCTTGGCCATGGTGGAGAGTTAGGAATCTGATTGATCGATTGCTTCTGTGGACAGGTGTCTTTTATACAGGTAACAATAATAGGCCATTTAGCAGACGCTTTTATCCAAAGCGACTTACAGTCATGCGTGCATACATTTTTGTGTATGGGTGGTCCCGGGGATCGAACCCACTACCTTGGCGTTACAAGCACCATGCTCTACCAGCTGAGCTACAGAGTGTGCTCCTAATCTCAGCTCGTTACCTGTACAAAAGACACCTGGGAGCCAGAAATCTTTCTGATTGAGAGGGGGTCAAATACTTATTTCCCTCATTAAAATGCAAATCAATTTATAACATTTTTTACATGCATTTTTCTTGATTTTTTTGTTGTTATTCTGTCTCTCACTTTTCAAATAAACCTACCATTAAAATTATAGACTGATCATTTCTATGTCAGTGGGCAAACGTACAAAATCAGCAGGGGATCAAATACTTTTTTCCCTCTCTGTATCTCTTACACCTTATTAGCGTCTAACTGGTGCAACCCACTCCTGGTCAGTAGAGTCAGTATCTTCCCCCTCTTAAGTACTATATGTATTTGCTGAAAGTATTACCATGTGAATTACAAATACTCAATACCCTGTTTTGCCAGTGTTAATAGGAAAGTATTTATGACTATGTTTATTGCACGTACAGACAATTACTCTGTGACAAAGCAACGAGACAAACGGGGGGTTGACACCTCCAATGTTGAATCTGACGAGGAACCAGCGAAGAGGGCGGTGACTAATCCAATCAGATTCCGTGTAGAGCCACCTGGTGAGGATTTCTTAACTGCTCTTATTCCATTGTGTGTATTACATGCATCAGGAAGTAGATGAAATAAATTACTATTTTTTTGTATTGTACTTCGTAAGATGATGATGGAAGTGAAGCACTCCAGAAGAAGACAAGCCCAGCTTCCAGTGCCCCAGCTTCCACCAGCCCCTAGTGGTAAGATCCTGCATTAGGCTACTAGGTCATTAAATGTATAATCAGCAAGTTGATGGTAAGTTTGACACATATTCAAGTATGTGGGTGAAGAAAAGCTTACAGTTAATGCAAGTACTAGTCTTAAATTGTAGAGACGGCATGAAATCATAACCTAATGACAGTTGATATGACAAGAAATTACCACACCCATCTGATCTTGACATGCTTGATTATTAGTTACATTACCAAAGTGTAACAGTTCTTCTTTTTTTTCTATTAGCAACTTCAAGAGCCAGTGTCTTTGAAAATACCCTACAAGGTACATAACGTTTCAAGTCTGATAAACGAGCCTACTTTCTCAAAGTTCTGTTCCCACCAACTGTATGGGATGGACAGGCAAATCTGTTAAGTGTGTACTGTGAATGTGGTAATGGTTTGACATCTGTGATATTCTCTGAAGTTGCAGATGCAGAGAACTTGAGGCCATGTGCCACCTCAAGCCAGAGCGACAGTAAGTGTCTGGTTGTAGTTTGTTAGGGTAAACAATTTAATTGTATGAAGTATTATAGCTTTACAAACCTTTCAAAGCCACTCAATAGAATGCAATTACCATCACATTGTTGTATATTAGGTTATTTAAAGTAATATTACTACTTTGTGCATACTGTTAGAACTTTCCAAATACTTGTGGTGCTGTGTATGGGTGAAGCTTGTACTGACACCAGTAGTTGTAAATATCTGTATGTATTTGCCATCAAACTAAAAGCATTATTTAAAACAAAAAATGATGCTTAGCATTTATTTTTGTTGGGATTCATTAACCTTCCCACTGAGCTCCTGACTGACATCCCTTCACTTTTGGTTCTGTGCCAGTTTCAAAAGCATGCAAAGTATGTCTTAATTTTTTTCCTTCTGTTTTCTCAGTTAGTCCAAGTGGCAGCCAGGAAGAAGCTGGCCAAGACAGAGCATCAGAATCAGGTTTCTTTAGCCTTCAAGATATTGATCTCGAAATCGTAAATGTAGAAAGTTTAAATAACAACATGATTTGTTACTTAGATTTTAGACCAAGAGCTGCCATCCCTGCTTGATGAGCCTGTGGCTTCTGAGATGCCCGCTGGATACATTAAAGGTATATTATGCTAGCCTATATGTTACAAAATGTTGCTTCTCTTGTATTATCAACATCAATTCAAAATTGTATGGCTGTCAGCAGCTATATGGTTATCAATACTACTAATATATATGAAGGGTGGATATTTTGATCGAGGTATTTCACATGGCCTTGATTCATGTCCTGCCTGGTACTCATGGCTTGTATCATCACGCTGCTTGCAGCAAAACTGTTGTCTTTATTATTTTGTAGATCTTCAAGCAGTGGAGATGAAGATAATGGTGAAACTGGAGATGATCATCATCATCACCATCATCATCACCATCATCATCACCATCATCATCATCATGGTGGAACTGGAGATGATGCGTACAGAATTCAAGACTGCTCTGAACCAAGTTATAGAGGTCATAGAGGCCCGGCAGCCAAAGGAGTTGGAATCCTTGGGGAAACTTGAAATGCTGCAAAACCCTGCAGAAACAAATGAGGAACTGAAGGATATCTGTGAAACACTTAAAGACTCCCACTATTGAAAGAAAATGGTAGGGATGGCCATTTAAAATGTAGCTGTTTGTAAAAAATTAAATAATCTACATCACGTATTTGAACAGCAATTGACAAAAACAAGTTTGCTGTTCATCAAGAGCCACTTGAATGCGACCAGATTTGAGAGAAGATTGCAACCTGCAATATTATTGAATCCAAATATCTTAATGTCAACGAAATGCAGTTTTTAGTGTTTGGATTGATTTCTCATGACTATCAATCAGAACTGTATGGCCAGCTGTCTTAGCTGAGGAACACAGAAATGAGTTGGATTCTTTAGACCTCTCTCCTTCACCTTTCCTTTGTCCTCTCTCTCCGATCTTAACAGGTGGTAGGATTTCACACTGCCTTGTTACTGATTTAATTCATTTGAAATTTTAATAAATACACATTTGACTTACCATCACTTGACCAATAATACTATCTACAAAATAATAGTAGATTGGTTTCGATGATGCCATTGCAAGTGACAGAGGAAACACTGTGGGTGGTGATAGATTGATGGAGCACAAAAGTGGCCATAATGACAGATCAAATACCTGACCTTCTGCTGTGGCCTGGACCTGGGCTCAGGAATCAGACGAAATATGAGAAAAATTGTAACAGAGGAGCTGTGGACAGAGGAGCTGTGGACAGGGGAGCTGTGGACAGAGGAGCTGTGGACAGAGGAGCTGTGGACAGAGGAGCTATGGACAGGGGAGCTGTGGACAGAGGAGCTGTGGACAGAGGAGCTGTGGACATTGGTGCTGTGGACGGGGGAGCTGTGGACAGAGGAGCTGTGGACAGAGGAGCTGCGGACAGAGGAGCTGTGGACAGAGGAGCTATGGACAGGGGAGCTGTGGACAGGGGAGCTGCGGACAGAGGAGCTGTGGACAGAGGAGCTGTGGACAGAGGAGCTGTGGACAGGGGAGCTGTGGACAGAGGAGCTGTGGACAGAGGAGCTGTGGACAGAGGAGCTGTGGACAGAGGAGCTGTGGACAGGGGAGCTGTGGACAGAGGAGCTGTGGATAGGGGAGCTGTGGACAGAGAAGCTGTGGACAGGGGAGCTGTGGACATTGGTGCTGTGGACAGAGGAGCTGTGGACAGGGGAGCTGTGGACAGAGGAGCTGCGGACAGAGGAGCTGCAGACAGAGAAGCTGTGGACAGAGGTGCTGTGGACAGAGGAGCTGTGGGCAGGATGGGGAAGTGGGTATTTAATGAACTATCAATCTATGATGCTGTCACAAGTAAGAAAATTCACAAGTTTATTATTTATTATTATTTTGTAGATAGTATTATTGGTCAATTGATGGTAAGTCAAATGTGTATTTATTAAAATTTGAAATGAATTAAATCAGTAACAAGGCAGTTACAAATTAAATGTGAAATCATACCACCTGTTAAGAGGTCTCATGGCCAAAACTGCCTATGAGGGAAGAGAGGGACAATACCCAACCTCTGTCTCAGCCAGCATAGGTGGAAAAGTAGAGATATGACATGGAATGTACCATTTCAATTCTTTTTCACAAGATAGGAGCTGAAAGCACACCCCAAGGCTACATACCAAGAGGTAGATGACAAAATAGCAGACGCTCTCAAACATGCACCAGCTCGACTCAAGAGTAAGAGAAAGGTATGAATAAAAATAACACTTAATTACCTTTTTTTTTTTTTTACTTCACTTTAATCCAGTTGGTCAGTGTAGCTACATTATTGTGCTAGTACAAAAGGAATGTAGTAGGGAGTGGACGTTAAACCGGCATTTTGATAATTTGTTTACGGAAAATAATGACCAATTTGTGTTATTGTGACTTCCAGGAGCGTGTCGAGGAAGAGACATGATGAGGATGGAGCAGTAGCACCTGAATAAACATAACATAGTTATTCACTTTTAGCTTTAAGCAGTTTTACAGTTCTTCATTGGAGTGCAGTGTTCATGTTTTTACTGACTTGTTATTTTGTGAGTTTATTGCTGTGATTTTGTTTACGAATCTATAGTGATACAGTTTAAGTAAACACATTTTTAAAAAAGATAACTTCTTATTTTCTGGAATTTTGCATATTTCGTCAGTGGACACCTACCGACAGGATACTGTGTATATGTTCAGGGTAGATTAGGTAGATTAAATTACGTATTTTAAGGGGCCTCCCGAGTGGCGCAGTGGTCTAAGACGCTGCATCGCAGTGCAAGCTGCGTTGCTACAGATGCTGGTTCGATACCTGTCTGTGTTGCAGCCAGCCGTGACATTGAGACCCATGAGGTGACGCACAATGGCCCAGCGTCGTTAGGGGGAGGTTTGGCCGGCCGGGATGTCCTTGTCCCATCGCGCTGTAGCAACTCCTGTGGCAGCCCGGGCGCATGCATGCTGACACGGTTGCCAGCTGTACAGTGTTTTCTCTGACACGTTGGTGCGGCTGGCTTCCAGATTAAGCATTCAATTTAGAATCTTTCAATTTAAATTATTATATACAATTCTTGCTTCCAAGCTCTGCAGATTTTGCTGCGAAGAGACAGAATCATTAGATCATTTGTTTTGGTACTGTCCATTTGTAACTTGTTTTTGGACACAGGTCCAGGAATGGCTAAAGGATTGCAATATTTACCTGGAGCTAACCTTGCAGATAGCATTACTGGGTGATCTGAAAAGTCATAGTCAATCGATCAATAACATAATAATACTTTTAGCAAAACATTTTATTTTCAATTCACAATCTGTAGAAACAATGAGAATAGAAAGGTTCAGAACTTTTGTAAGACATCACAGTACAGTTGAAATGTATATGGCAAATATAAATCCTATATGGATGGTGTTAAGAGATAGATGGGGGGTATTGAATAGAGTTGAAGGATGGGACTAATAACAAATAACAACAAATAATAACAAAGATAGCTAATAATGTAAGCATACTGTGTCCATAATAAGTATATAGGTTGTAGGTTGGGAGCTTTTGTGAAAGAGCACAGTTAGAAAGACATGGCATATAGAAGCAAACCGGATGGACATCATGAAAATAATCGGAGAGGTTGAGAGTAGAGGACGTTCAGGAGAAAAAACAAACAAAATATAATTATTGTAAAATTGACTGTGTCCATAAAATGTAGATAGTAGGTATAAGCTGGAAGTAGAGGCCTAAGCATTGTTGTTCACTAATTTACTCAAAGTAGGGAAGGGTGGTGGGGTTGGAAAGTAATAAAGGGAGAAAAAAAGGGGAAAAAAGCATGCATTGTGTCAAGAAGCAGTGCGGCTTGGCGGGGTTGTGTTTCGGAGGATGCACAGCTCTCGACCTTTGCCGAGGCCATACCAATATGACGAAAAGGGGGTAAAAACATTAGATATTCAGGGGCCCACTCATTTCAACGTCCTGAAGTGACTTGCGATGTAACTTGTGTCAACTGACACCACAGGTACATCTAGGAGAAGTTTCATGAAAACATAATTTTTATGTCAACCACATAACGTTGCTAAACGTCAAAATACATTGAGAGCCCCACAAAATGCAGTTTCTGGTAACCATTGGGAACGTAACTTTGGTCGGTGGGTGCCTACAGTACCAATAAGGCACGTTCAGAGAAGATTCAAGGACATCTCTTATAATGTTACTGAATAACGTTATTTAACTGTTTAAAATCCCCCACATTTCTACGTCCTGAAAAGACTTGGGACGTACGTTTTGTCAGTGGACACCACATCTACGTAGAAGGCACGCTTCACAATAACGTTATCATTACTTATGTAGGGACTAAAATAACTTTGTGGTCACGTCCTGGAACATAATTTTGTTAGCTGGATTGTTGGAAAGGTGGCATCCTATGACGGTGCCACGTTGAAAGTCACTGAACTCTTCAGTAAGGCCATTCTACTGCCAATGTTTGTCTATGGAGATTGCATGGATGTGTGCTCGATTTTATACACCTGTCAGCAACGGGTGTGGCTGAAATAGCCGAATCCACTAATTTGAATGCCTGGTACGGCAACTGCACAACCCGCAACAGCATGGCTCTCCAGAGGGTGGTGCGGTCAGCCCAACGCATCACCGGGGGAACACTGCCTGCCCTCCAGGACATCTACAGCACCCGGTGTCACAGGAAGGCCAAGAAAATCATCAAGGACTTCAGCTACCCGAGCCACGGCCTGTTCAACCCGCTACCATCTAGCAGACAGAGACAGTACAGGTGCATCAAAGCCGGGACCGAGAGACTGACAAACAGCTTCCATCTCCAGCCATCCCTTTTACTTTTTGGGTTATGTGTGTACTGTTGTTGTATTGCTAGATATCACTACACTGTTGGAGCTAGAAACATTAGCATTTCGCTGTACCTGCGATAACATCTGCAAATCTGTGTATGCGACCAAAAACATTTTGATTGGATTTGATGACTTGCATTGTATTTGTGCCACAAATGCTAAAGTTAGCATTTGGAAACAGTGCCAGGAAAACTAAACCACAATGTATTGCTGTTATACCTTGTCCATGGACTGCTTACAGGGTAAGGAAACCAATATATACTTTTGTAATTTGGGTGAACTATCCCTGTATTGTTGCGAACACAGGTCGCTGATATTAAAGGCGAATGCCCTAAGCATCGCACCAATAGGTTTAACCCACCTGGTGGGAATTATAACGTGGCTAATATAGCAAAGACCGCTACACTGCCCCCTTCGAACAGCTTCTTTAATGTGGGCTTTTCCATTGTATGGTTCTGACTTGGTGTATGACCAAGCAGGCAACTGGGACAACTGACTAGGGTGCAAATATTAGGCCTGTTATTTTCCCACACTTGAAGTTCTTTACAGAAGTAAGAGATCAGAAACCATAGTGTTAAAAAGTAGGCTTGGACTGTATACCGTATACCGGGATCTTGGGCTGCATACTGTGTATATACCGTATACCGGGATCTTGGGCTGTATACCGTATATATACCGTATACCAGGATCTTGGGCTGTATACCGTGTATATACCGTATACCTGGATCTTGGGCTGTATACCGTATACCTGGATCTTGGGC